ATTCAAATTTGGTAAAACCATTCTATGCCAGTAGCCCGTGAACCCAGTTAGTTTTGGCTGACTTGAGAGTGGTTGGGGGGGTATTCATAAAATGGAAAAATCATCTTTTGACTAATACAGCTACCAAAATGCGGTAAGAATATTTTACATTTAACTAAATTTTACGATTTTTGGCAGAGCCAAGATGAAACGGACAAATAGTGAGCAATTATTACTCCTCCGGCATATACAGGGTTTGTTAGGTTAGGTATATATATTGACATCCTCTGTATCTTTTTTATTCGACGTTTTCGAAAAAAGTGTCTTGAATAAAAGTTTAATGGTCTCGAATACATTTTTAAAAACAGTCTTCTTTGCATATACAGGGTGCCTTAGAAATCCTGTACGTGGCCCAACTTTCTTATTTCAAATTAGTACCCAATTTTTTAATTGATTTTTATTTTCTCCTAAAAATCCTAACTACTTTTATGTAGCATAGCCAGACTTTTTGAAGCACTTTGGATATGCGAAATAGACTTTTTTGGCAAATTTATTCAAAACCACTTTCATTTGATACAGTTTTCGGAAACGTCAAATAAAAAAGATAAAGGGGGTGTCAATGTATAAAAGAAAACTCTAAGTATACTAATCCAATCGAACTTTTATTCAAGATTGTTTGTCATTTGAATAAGTTGGGTTTCTAATAATACCAGACAATATGTGAACAATATTTTATTATTATATTTTAAATAAGTAACAATATTCTGAGAATTAAACAATGACGATTTCGAAAATAACAGAACTTATACCTATTAAAAATATCTAAATTTTATTTTACCACCTACTTTTTACTGATATTTTGTTTTATGACAGCTGGAAGCAATGGTTACGAAGTGCACATTTTTAAATCTGAAAGAAAAATCCATTTCATTTAATTTAAAAAATTAGGTACTGTCAAAATTTGTCAATTTGTCAAGAAATGTCATTTGACATTTATGACATACCTCTTCGGAAATCTTGAGAAAAATTACGTAACTATATTTCAAGTTCTTCTCTAGCTACTATAACAATTAATTTATGAGAAGTATCCACATAAAGGATCTTACTATACACATACGCATTGAGACATACGCTTCCAATAAGTTTAATGTTGTGATTTTTTACGATTTTTTTGACTTAACTTTTCTAAGATAGAATATATGCCACTATCAAAAAAACCTTAAATGATTATGTTCTACTTTGACCTTTACCTAGTTTTTATCCAAAAAATCAAAATAAAAGATACTTTTTTACTTACCTTGACATTAAATTTACCGCAACCGGGAATCTACGTAAAACACATTATGACAATTTCACAATAAGTATTGACAGCAAGCTAAGGTCGTCCAATTCAATTGTTATAATACTGTGTCACTTGAATGCAACGCCTACTATTTAAAAATTTTTAGAAAAAAGGCAATTATTGGACACAAATTAACTGAAAATGTAGGTTTTGCGCAAAGTTCGTTTTACAGCCCCTCGAAAGAGACTCCGAATATGTTTTTTTGTTAGTTTTATGTGGTTTCCTCTTAACTAATATGTTTCCAATCTAATGTTATTGACATAAATGCTAACTGTGGATGTTATTTTTTGCAACTTGGTTTGGACATCTTGCCTACTGTGCGGCTGTGCGAAATAAGTAGGTTATCTGTCAGATGAAGAAGCGAAGTTGCCACTGTTGCCATTTATCAAATATCTCTATATACTTTATTTCAAGTATACCTCAGGCAACGAATCGTTTTTTTAATTATTTATTAGCTGTAAGCTGTAAGATAGTTTATACATTCAAATTTAGAAATAAAGATAAAACAAAACAAAAAAAATATGTATAAAACTTCATAATTAATTCCACTTCAAATTATGAGCAGTGTATACCATGTTTATAGGACCACTTCATAAGTTGAGCAGTTAAATACGTAATCTATCTGTCAAACACGTCAAAAGAGAGAGAAAGAAAATTTGGTCCCACCACATCAAAAGAGCCGACGGTTTCTGTCGCTACTCGGCGATTTACTTACTCTGCCATAGCGCCAAGTTTGATCAACCTACACATACTACGTAGAATGAGAAGTGCATAATTTTTTCAACGTAAATCAGTGACGTCAGCATAAATTTGTACGAAAAACGCGTGTTTTTTTTCTAGAAGTGTCACTGTGGAAACAGATTGCTTACGGTAGTAAATTTCAAAGTGGGCGACAAACTTGCACATGTACAGGATGTCCCATTTTCATGCGTTTGCAGGGTTTCTCGTTTATGAGCAGAAGTGCAAAGATAAGGTTTGCAGAATCCAATAGCCTGGAAAAAAACTAGTTTTTTCGATGGGAGCTGTCATTTTCGAAATATGTATTAGTCAAACTGATGTGTTTTTTTCAATAGGATACCCTGTATAATATTTTTTTTATTTTATTTATCTCGTAATGAACTTTCTAAAAATATTATAGAGTATACTCTGTTTTTTCTCTCAGGTAAGATTTCGACAGACGATGACAGAAAAAAAGCAGATGACTTCCATACCAATCCATTTATTTCGCTAAAAAAAAGTTTCTAATATTTTTTAAGTTAACTCTGGATGGGTTTATAAATAAATACGTCATGAGTCGTCTCTTGTTGTTTTTAACCAGTTTTATTGGTTTATTTAAAAAATGACAGATCATATTTCAATATTACTGGTTTGACGGAACGATGAACGACAAACGGACGCTTATGCGTATGAACTCGACTTAAGATTTTTGAGAGTTGTGAAATTCTTACCAAATAGGTTATAATTTTGTGTCAAATTATGTCAAATAGAAATTATAAATATTTTGCATTTTGGACTGTGTTGTTACTTGTTTTTCGTGTTTTTTAAAATTAAGTGGAGGAAAACTCGAGGGAAAATTAAGTGTTGGCCCAGACCATAGTTTACAGTTAATATTCGGTGCACAGAGACCGCCAGAGACACAGTTTGCCAAAGACTATGGCCAGAGAGTTGTATTAGCCACAAGTAAAGTTGTATACCATCTCGTGCATGGTAACAAAAACTGGAGTATCTGTAAAATAACATCACACGATAGGTAAATAATACATTTTAGTACTGCAGAAAAAATTAAGATTAAAGTTAATTAACCAAGATTAGATTTTTTCAGTTTCATACAGTTTTTTTTTTCACAATAGCTTGAAGTAATCACTTGTCACTCAAAATTTAAATATATATTAATTATGCGTTCCAAATGTACGAACTTATTTCTTTGTAAAGTAAAATAAACTACTTTGAAATTAAAATGACAGACACATCTAACACTGTCAAGGATTTTGTCGTTGGACAGATTATACCCTATGCTTATTTTCATTAATAAGGTAAAAAATGCATTTGGTAACATTGCATTAACACAGTCATGGCACTGAAATTTAAAATACGATTTTTAAGCGAAAATATCAAAAGTTCACAATATGTCATTCTATTCGAAGTGTCATTTTCTATTGAATGAAGTAAAAATATACCGAGGGTGCCATTTAAGAATCAAAAGCTGTAGTCATTTCTGGTGAAACAGGTAGTGACCAAAAACAACGGAATAAGTCAATCAATCCTAATTTATGTCATATAGGTACCTACCAAAATACCCAATCTCGTTTTTTAAGTGAAAAAATAAAAAAGTTATAGGGGTGAGTCAGATGAGCCACTTTTGACTTTTCAACTTTTTAGCGGCGAATACAGACAGTGAATTAAAAATCGTCAGTATTTAATAAATGTTAAACGCTATTATTACTACAGAGCCTATTTGTTTTAGTTTATTGTAGCACTACAACTATTAATTTGACCTAATAAATTACATTTTGTATTTATTAACCTTTGATTAGAACTACTTTAGAAAGATGTTATTTAGTTTTTAATGGTTTTTAAGTATTTATTGAAGAGGATTTGGATTCATATTAATTCATATTCTAAATTTTTATCACAACTCAGAATTTTTATAAAAAATAGATACCTACCTAAAAGATCCTATATAAAATTTTACAGATTTAGTGTATAATGTTCATAAGTACCTTAACTTTTTTGAAATAATTTCACTATTGTGTCAAAAATTACATTTGTATAGTAGTTTTAGGCATTGATAGAATTATTATACCGATTGTTTATTTAAAAAAAGGTCTCCTTATTTCATTTTAATCAAGCTCTTTATTTTACAAGATACTCAAAAAATATGACAAAAACATTCAAAAACACAACTATTTTAAGTGAAATCTTCGCGAAAAAATTGTTATTTTTTTTATTTATTCTCGATTTTATTCATATATTATAGGCAACTCATGTCCACTTGCACCGTTTGTATAAACTTTGTTTAAAGGCTAAACAGTGATTAACTATAATAAAATATTATATAGTTAATCACTGTTTAGCTTTTAAACAAAGTTTATACAAACAGTGCAAGTGGGCATTACAATAACAACAAGTGCGCATATACAGTAAAATATCACTTATAAAAATGTATATAGAGTAGTAAATAAATAAACAACTGTAAACCCACTATTATGTTTAAATTATCAAAACGAGTAGGTATATTTTCACACAAATTATAATGGCTAAATTTGTGTTAAAATCCACCTTAAAGAATCCTCCATGTAAAACATTCAGGTTTGTATCTAAATTAGATTCTAAACATCTTTTAATGAGCATATTCTGTGAAAACCCCTGTATACCAATAATTTGTTAATTCACTTAGCATTAACACAACTCTGTGCAGCCTCAAACATCCCTAATCTTGTACAGTGCTCACGTTTAACTTAATTTATGTACACTGACAGATAGGTCAATATTTGGTCATTGTCTTATAGGTATTTGTTATTCAGCATTGTCAAAAGGACCAAATTGCATTAAATTACAACACTACTCAACAACAAAACTGTCGTGTTATTGTTTACGTTGCCATTGACAGGTAGGTCAATATTTTGACACTGCTATTTAAAGTGATGTTTTTCTGTTTGGGTGCTAAAAAGGTACTCACTTTTGGGTTTGTTTTTATCCATGAGCATATTAACGTGGTCGTGAGTGTGCCACGCCATTGACGGAGGAGAAACCATAAAACGGGACAACTAGAGCACCCGGGGAAGCGGTCACCGCCTCTCGCGTTCCTTCTACCGAGGAGGCCCTCTTACACCAAGTTCACCATCGTCGAGCTCATCGCACTCTCACTGGGTAAACAATCCCGCGTGCTAAAGGCCACTAACCTCCAGCCAAAGCAGCCCTGCTTGAACGCCACAGGAACAAGCCTCTTGACAACTCCACGAAATTCAGGCGCGAGTCTCCAAAATACTAGATTATGAGTGAAATTTTCCGTTATCCGAAGCGTTTCGATAGAATTTCGCATTTTGTCATCGCGATCGAGCTGAAAAAGCCGATGTAAACAGGCGAAGCAAGGAACGTCAAAGTCTCGGAGGTCCGAGCGTCGTATTTTACTGCCTGCCCTCCCTCTGTCGCGTCAAATAATGGACTCGTCTCGAAACCACGACGGACGTGATGCAAGGGTCAAAAACACCAAGCAAAACAATAACAACGGTGCGTGTTGAACACGCTACACCACAAGTGTTACTCGCCAAAAACACTAAATATTACTAATTAGACAAATAATAACTGTACCCACGATATATAAACACTAGACACTGCTCGGAACTACACGTGCCGTAAAGGTATCCCTGGTAAGATGAATAACCGTATCTAGTCGTCTACGCTTTTAACAGAGGTTCTCCAATTGTCACAAGGTAAATTGAACAAGTTGATGGTGCTGCACACTCCGTTAAAATCAAAACATAGCAACACCAATAGAAAACACTCGACTTGAAAAATTTTTAGACGGCGACAGCTACACAACTACCGTTCGCAGGTTTTTGACTGACAGTCCTGACAGGTCATAGGAGGGAGGGGAGGACCAGAGTCGATCGTTGAGTTTGCGCCAATTTTGCGGTTTTGGAGTACTCCGCTAGATGGCAAAACCTGTCATAGTAAAATGTACTAAAATTAAATTGTATCACAACCCTGGCGTTGATACATCATTTTACGCTGTGACCACAGAACAGATACATGACTAAAGAATATAGGTTGTAGGTTGCAGCTGGTTGCAGGTCGCTTTACTACATAATACAGGGATGGGTGTCTACAAAATTCAGATTAAAAAGTATACAGTTTAGTATACGTTTAAAAAATCAGACGTGCCTTTCCATTTTTTCAATGAAAATGACTTAGGAATTACTTCCTAACATACAGTGCATATTTCAATAAATTAAAATGTTTAAACAAAAATAAACCATGTAAAAAATCTCGGTAATGGTGTGGCTGGTGTGGCTCCGGTGGCTGACCTTGAAACGAGTTTTTGCTGCATATAGTCAGAGACACTACGCGTGCGCACATCTTCGATGTTGCCAGATTGCGAGTTATTTTGGAATTATTTTCAGTAGAAAACAAATATGTGCTTTTCAGAGTTTTTTTGTCAATATATACCGTATGATCGAAAAAACGGGGTCCAGTTGGCTGGGAAATGACGATTGAGAACATTTCCCATATAAAATGACAGCGATCTTCATTTCATAGTCATCGCTGACGCTATTTTTTTTTCTATCATAGTACGCCGGTATATTATTTATATTATTATTTTAATATTTCGCACAACACGTGAACGCTTATTGTGTATTTTCATAGTCAATAAAATTATATAGAAATACAACTCTAGATTCCTATCTAGATTATTATGCTACGTTTAAAAAGTGCTTTATTAAAAATTCGGAAAATTAAAAGGGATGTGTCCAAGTTTTTTCTTTTTTTAAATTTTTAAATGCTGTAGCTCCATGTCATGTTCATAATAGTTTTTTTTAACATTCCATCAAAACTACGGAGGCCTTAAAAGGCCTTTTAGCCTCCGTAATTAAAATTGTAGAATCAGCTTCAGCAACATTAACAGTTACCTTGTTTAATTCTGCTTATACATATATTGCATTAATTTTTCTGCTACATTAAGATTTCTCTATTCTTACACCTAATTTATGTGATTTTCTTAGCATATATGATTTATAAACCATATTTTTCCTAATGGAAGGATGGAATAGGATATGCAAAATTAAGATATTTTAACATTTATTTTCCAGACCAAGCATAATATAGTATTAAGATTAAGACATAACACATATTATAAGAAAGATCTATATATAAATCACAAACTAAGTCTTAATTTAGTCTTGTATTTCTATTATTATTGTTATTCTTATAAAACTAATAAGATCAACTCAACCAATTCAACTCATTCAACTATTGAATAACTCAACCTTCCCCGTATTGTCAAGATTTGGCATTATAGGAAACAAGAAATTACAGTAAATTAAGAAAAGAATATCAAAGTACACGATATTAAATACTGTAATGTATTCTACGATACAAACCATCTCCCTTCTAAAGAGAAAAAGATAAAACATAAAGCTTATTTTAGTCTTATCAACGGATACACTCTTCGATAAAATGTATGTCTAAAATTGCTATTAATCCACTAACTTGATATTTTTAAGAAATTATGATACAAACATTAATTATAATCAAAGTATATTATATTAGTAACATTATAGGTAAAATGTTACCTCTATCTCCGATTGACGCGTGTATTGTTCTATAATAAGACTGGTCATGGTAGTACTTCAAAGCATATCAATACATATAATCAAAACTATTGTTGCCTGTAAATAACTAGAAAATAAATAACTTGAAAGAAATAAAATAATTCTAATAAGTTTAAAACCATTAAGAAAAAATCCGTAAATGATAAATTTTAATTCTAATGTAAATATATAAATAAATGTTATTATTATTACAATTTTATATATTCATAATACTTTCATTTTACAATCTTCATTATCCTTCTTACCTTAATTTTGGATATCAAGATAAATCTAAAATTATAAAATTAATTATAGAATTTGTATTATTATTGATTAACATGCAAAAAAAAATTCAACTGCAAATAATTCGAAAATAAACTGCAATTTGGCAACATCGACGATGTGCGTTTGCGTAGTATCGATAATCAAATGCAGCAAATATGGGCTTCAAGGTCAGCCACCGGATCCACACCTTTACCAAAATCTCTTATTTCTCTTCCATCCTTTCTTGAAAGTTATCAGAAAAAATCTTTCCAAAAAAGTACAAAAATTAAATTAGCATACAACCCTACAATTCTGATTTTTAGCAACTGCTCTAATTTTTAAAACCACAAAGTAAATATCAAAAAAAAGGCTAGCCTTGTTATCTATGGTTTTAGCCGTTTTAGCAGGATGTGTGCATCTGTGTGGTTTCATCAATATATTTAAAGTTCGGTAAGGTGTGGATCCGGTGGCTGACCTTGAAGCTTACATATTTGCTGCATTTGATCATCGATATTACGCAAGCGCACATCGTCGATGTTGCCAAATAGTTTATTTTCGAATTATTTGCAGTTGAAATTTTTTTTTTTGAGTGTTAATCACTAATAATACAAATTCTATAATTAATTTTATAATTTCAGATTTATCTTGATATCCAAAATTAAGGTAAGAAGGATAATGAACATTGTGAAATGAAAGTATTATGACTATATAAAATTGTAATAACATTTATTAATATATTTACATTAGAATTAAAAATTATCATGTACGAATTTTTTCTTAATGGTTTTAAACTTATTAGAATTATTTTATTTCTTTCAAGTTATTTAATTTCTAGTTATTTACAGGCGACAATAGTTTTGATTATATGTATTGATATGTTTTGAAATACTACCATGACGAGTCTTATAAAACAATACACGTCAATAGGAGATATAGAGTAACATTTTACCTATAATGTTACTAATATAATATACTTTGATTATGTTTGTATCATAATTTCTTAAAAATATCAAGTTAGTGGATTAATAGCAATTTTACGAAGAGTGTGTTGATAAGACTAAAATAAGCTTTATGTTTAATCTTTTTCTCGTTAGAAGGGAGATGGTTTGTGTCGTAGAATACATTACTTATATTCTTTTCTTAATTTACTGTAATTTCTTGTATCCTATATAATGCCAAATCTTGACAATATGGTGAAGGTTGAGTTTTGATCTTATTATTTTTATAAAAGGTTTTATACCTGTGTTTATACAAGACCAACTTAAGATTAGTTTGTGATTTATATTAAAGATCTTTCTTATAATACCGTATGATCGAAAAAAAAATGGCGTCCAGTTGGCTTGGAAATGACGATCGATGACATTTCCCATATAATTTTACATATAAAATGACAGCGATCTTCATTTCATAGCCATCGCTGACGCCGTTTTTATTCGATCATACGGTATTTGTTATGTCTTAATCTTAATACTATATTATGCTTTGTCTGGAAAATAAATGTTAAAATATCTTAATTTTGTATATCCTATTCCATCCTTCCATTAGGAAAAATATGGTTTATAAATCATATTATGCTAAGAAAATCACATAAATTAGGTGTAAGAATAGAGAAATCTTAAGGTAACAGAAAAATTAATGCAATATATGTATAAGAAGAATTAAACAAGGTAACTGTAAATGTTGCTGAAGCTGATTCTACAATTTTAATTACGGAGGCTAAAAGGCCTTTTAAGGCCTCCGTAGTTTTGATGGAATGTTAAAAAAAACCTATTATGAACTTGACATGGAGCTACAGCCTACAGCATTTAAAAATTAAGAAAAAAAAAACTAGAACACATGCATATTTTTTTCTAATTCAGGTTTTATCTGAAAAAAAGTACCAAGAAAATTAAACAAACAAAATAAAAATTTGGCTATAAACTAGCCATTTTTATGTGCCTAAATATCAAATCGACATAATAGTATACAGAAAGGTCACAGCAGAGGTCCACAGTCTTCGAAACAGGAAAATCAAGTCCACTTAGCGTGTGTCCAAATTTTGAATAATATTATTAATAATGTACAATGTACATTATAATAATAATAAATTGCACGCATATTCAGATTTACGCACTTTACGCGAACTAGAGACTGCCTTGGTTAATAACCCGGCTATCTCTCCAAGAACCCTGAAAGGTGATAAAAAAAATAAATAAATAAATAAATAAATTTTATACCGTATGATCGAGAAAAAACGGCGTCAGCGATGGCTATGGAATGAAGATCGCTGTCATTTTAAATGTAAATTTATATGGGAAATGTCATTGATGTTCATTTCCCAGCCAACTGGACGCCGTTTTTTTTTCGATCATATATACGGTATCATAGTGTGTATTAAAACTACTAAAACACTTTTAAATTGGTATTATATTAACAACTTTGTTTTTTTAATAAAAAATAATAAAAGTAACAAAGTTCTCAATCAAAATATTTGTGGTCCTCTCGCCAAATAATCGTCGAATCACCGCCACCGGTACAATTTGATGTTGCAATAAATCCAAATATTTCGCAGTATTTAAATTGCCCTCAATAAAAAATGGTCCAATAACGTGTTCCCCTACAATACCCGCTCAAACATTTAGTTTTTGTGGATATTGAGTTCGCACATTATAAAACCTATGCAAATTTTCTTTGCCGATTTAATAAGGAAAAGGACGACTCATCAGTAAAAACAATTCTCCTAAGAAAATTTTGAAATTGATCGTCGGGGAAAATTTTATGAATCTAGCTTTTCTTGAATGATAACCATGTTTTTTGAGGACCCTTTTAACTGTTGTACTTGAATTTACTGCTTCAGCAACTTGTACACAGCTTCTATTTGGATTTTCTTCAACGGCAGCGCATATTAAGCCTTCTGTTTCCTCACGAGAATTGTCTTCAATTTTTGTTTTTTTATGCACGTGGGGAGTAACGCTGCCATATTTTTCAAAATTTTCTTTTAT